AGGCCGCAGCCGTCCCCACCTGTGCAGCCGCCCGGTCCCGGCTCTCCGCTCCGCTCTCCGATGGCATCATTAGCCCTGCCCCGGGGCCCCGACGGCAGAAAGCGGGGGGCAGGGGGGATGTTTAATGAGAGGAAGCCTGGGAGAGCGGCTGGGCCGCGGCGAAAGCGGAGGGCGCAGGGACTGGACTGCAGCGACGGCGAGGCAAACCCAGGGCACACCTTAGACGACGGCGACTAACCGACCCTAAAGCGTGTGGCGCGGGGCCCAGCCGATTCTTATAGGCGGCGGGCGACACGCCCATTGGTCCCGGCAGCTGTCACACAGCGGGAGACGCCCCGCCTTTCGACGTCCCTGCCATTGGTCAGCAGAGCTTTGCACGTGAGTCACTTGTCGTCAGGGAGATTCCGATTGGCTGGAAGGCCCGCCCCTGCCCCGCCCTCCTTCTCAGGCTAAATTCCCTCCTTTGGTCCTTAAAGAACTTTTGTTCACCGTGATTGGCCCGGACGGAAGGCAGGGCCTGGATTTAAAGGGACTGCGCCCTCCAGGGGCACACGTGAGGGAAGTGACCCGTGGAGTTTGTAGCGGAGTTGAGCCACTAAGAACTTTTTTTCCCTTTGAAAGGAATTCACCCGGCCTGGTCCTGGTCATCTGCTATTTTCAGAAGCCCAGAGAGATTTGTGCCACTTGTTCAACTCCGTACAATGCTCCTCCTGCTCTCCCGCAATCTTCCAGGGTCGAGGAAAGGTAACAAACTTGTATATCGAGGTAGATACTTTTAGATGTATTCTCTTAATTGGCCCTTGCAGTGGTTGCTGGCCAGCATTAATATTCCGGTTTAGGGGTGGGGAAACCTGCTCAGAGAAGGGGCATGAGTCCCTCAAGGTCACACGGCAAATGAGACCAGGCCCTCATGCTGAATCTGGGCTATAGAATCTGTGGGCACATGTTCTTTCCACTATACTTGAGCAGACCCAGGGCCTTCACTGGGCTGGAGGTTGGAGGGAACCTGGAAGTGGGGGGTTGTTCTTCCTGATCCAGCATCTCAGGCCCTTCTGCAGCCCCTTCTGGCAGAGGCTTCCTGCACGGCTTTCCTGCCAGCCTCTTCTTAGCTTTCTCAGGTCCTGTATGCCCTAGAGCAAGTCATTAAACCTCTCTAAGCCAGTTTCCTCATCTGCTCCAGAGAAGGTTCTCAATAATAGTTTTTAAAATTTGACTTGATTATTTGTAGTTGGCAAAACATTTTCACATGTTCTATTGAAATAATATGTTTTACTTTTCCACTGTACAGAGCCTCGTGGGATGAGGCTTATTATTATTGTTGCTTTTAATCTTTTTTTTTCCTGATTTTAAATATATGTGCTTGTGGCAAAATTTTAGAAATTGAGTCTGTCTGATTCATCTCTGCAATATTCTCTCTTAAATTAAATCTCTTTCTGCTAACAATATGTCAAATTAAATATTCTCCTAACACTCTCATTCTGTAAGGTAGGCTGGGCAAGGAGTAATATGTCCAATGTACACACAGAGAAACCAAGACTTAAAAATGGTAAACTACATTCCAAGGTCACCAGATTGCCTCAGACAGATCTAGGACTAGAACCCAGCAGCCTGACTCTCAGGCTCCCAGCCATTTCCGCCTAAGCAAGATTCTGCCCTTGTCCCCTCCCTCTATCTTGTCTGGGATCAGGGGCCTCCTCTGGCCCCAGGGAGGGGATCTGCTGCTTGCTCCACTGCTTGGCTGTGTGACTTTGGGCCAGTCCCTTGGGCTGGCCTCGGTTCAGTAGCTTGCTATTTTGTTTTATCTTCTCTTGAAAGATAAGAAATAGATAAGAAATCTCCTTTGGCTTAACCCAGAGTCTCCAAACACTTGACCGATCACTTCCATGCTCCAGCAGAAGAAGGAAAAGAAAAGAAACTAACATTTTCTGGATACCTACTATGCATCAGAACACTTTATATACATGACCTCCTGCTCCTAAAGATACATCTCAAGATGTGGGATCATTATCCTCAATTTACAGATGAAGAAACTAAGGTGTAAAGAGGTCACGTTACATGCCTAAGGTCATACAACTACTAATTGGCAGTGTGGGACTTGAATCCAGTTCTCCTGACTCCAGAGCCCTTTTTCTCAACTGCTTTTCTTGAAAGAGTTGGCACAGATCACAGAGTCCTCCTTGGCACAGGCCTGATACCACCCACAAGATCCATTCATTTATTCATTCATCGAGCAACACATATGTACTAAGCACCTACTGTGTACCAGTTGCTGGGCTAGGCCCTGAGACATGATAGGCAAGGCCCCTGCTCTTCTAGAACTGACATTCTAGTGAGTAAGACAATAGTCAAGTAAACAAATAAATAAGACATTTCAAATAGTGCTAAGAAGAAAATAAAACAGAGTAAAGGAAGAGATTGCAAACACATGTGTATGTGAGTGTGAAAAAGATACAGCAGGAGAGAGAGAGAAATAGAGAGATCAATGTACATCATTATGGTGTAATCATGGAAGGCCTCCCTAAGGAGGTGACATTTCTATCGTGTCTGCTGTATTCACCTCTGCTCTATCTCCCTGTGCTTGCCCCAGGACAGCCAGGACAGCAAAGAAGGTGCCAAGCCACACATCCCTAGAACTCTGAAGTCTTGATCCGGAAGGCCCTTTGACAATCATTTTGTACATTCTCTTCCTGCTTTGTAGATGGGGAAACTGGGGTCCAGAAGGCAGAAGGGATTTACCCCAGGAGGACTGGCTAGGCCTGGAACTATGAGGGGCAGGTCCTTGTGGAGGCAGCCTGGTTCTGGGTCCATCCCACACACCTAAATTAAGATCTCTAAGGAAGGAAACTTAGAGATCTCTTTTCCTTTCTTCTTTGTGTCTGGGTTAGGAAGAGCAATTAGCAAATTCATGAGCTGTTATTCATCCTTCTGTTGATACTTCTATTTATAATTGGTAATTGGTCCAATGTTTGCCCATCACAGGACCTGAACATTATTACTGTGACGTACATAGGGGTGACTTGGGGATGTAGGGAGAGAAGAGAGAAGATAAGAGGGAGCAAGGGTAAACTCAGTGGGGTTTTTCATTTTCACCAAGATCAACTTTTGATTGTCCCAGTGAATGGAGGGGAATGATGGCTGAAGTACATCATGAAAAGTCCAACTGGCTTTCAAATTTTATATATGAGCCTTTCTCCCTGTACAAATTTCCCACCTTAATTCTGACTGTAACTGATTTTAGAAGAGAACTTACTATATGTTCATGTATAACTGAAAAATTGTGCTCTACACTGGAATTTGACACACCATTGTGAAATGATTATAAATCAATTAAAAATGTTTAAAAAAAAGGGAACTTACTCTGTGTGATAATTGAGTTGTAGTGACATAGGTAAGTCACTTTCCCTATCTGGGCCTCAGTTTCCTATTCTGTAAAATGGGAGTGAAACAGGAGTCACCATCATTCACACATTCTATGATTTGAAGTGGTAGGAAGGGAGAAAGGGTCCTGGGAGAGTCTTGGTCTCTACATTGGCCCTTCCCCCAAAGTGGGACCCTAGACAAGAGCATCCTGGGATTAACCCACATTACTGAGTGCCCTATGCCTAGAACCACTCCAGGCACTATTCACACAGCTTCTCATTCAGTTTTAAGAACATAATCTTTTGACATAGGAGTGATCTCTCATTTTGCATTAGAGGAAATTGAGCTTCAGAGACACTTATTCATTTGGGCAGGGCCCCAACAGTTGGAGAGAGGGGCTTCATATGCAGGTCTGGCTGAACCCGGGCCCATGCCCTACCCTGGGCCCTGCCTCTGAGGGTGACTTGGTTTGTTCGGTTACACATAGATGACCCTCCCCCGATTCGCTCCTCCCTTGGTTCTTGTTTGCTACCCTGCCTCAACCCCTCATGGCCAAGGTAATTTCCTGGACCTTGTCATTATCAATACTTGTGTGTAATTTCAGTATCAAGTAGCCCATCCTCCTGGCATCACCTCCTGTCTTTTCTGCTCATTCTCTCCAGAACCCCAACTCTTTCGGATCCCCGAGTCACCAGGACCTTCAGGCCATTGATCCTCCCACCTTTTCCCCAACTGTTCCTTGCCTTTCTCATGTCCTGACTTTCCTCCTTAACCAGCTGAGATTCCATGGGCCATTATAGTTACTTCCTTGCATACACCCTCAACCCCCTTGCTCCTCTCTGCTTAAATTGCACTCACCCAGCAAAACCACACCCTGTTAATCCAACTCTCCACCTGCACCCACACGGTTGACAAAACCTGAAGCGAGACACACGGCCCTGCTGACTGGTCTCACTTTAATGTCACACCCATCCTCCTCCAGGGGACCCTTAGTGCTGTTTTGAGACCCTACAGTATGACCCAGTTCTGTCACTGGCCCTCGGTCCCGTAGACAATTTCTTACCTTCTCGTCTCTCCTCAATCCCTGACAGCTCCCCCCCCCCAGCCTCCCTCTCATGACCTTGCTTCCTGCTTCACTGAGAAAATAGAGGCGATCAAAAGAGAATTTCCTCAGACTCTCACACCTTCTCTACCCAATCCCTGGGTCTGTGCCTCATTGTTACCCACCCTCCTGAGATGAACCGCACCTCCTCCTCTCTGTGCTTCCCCGACCTCTACACCAGATCCCTGGCCTCTAACCTGCTCAAGGACTTCACTTGGGCCATTTCCCCCTCTTTACAGGGTCATTCCAATCAGCACTGAAACATAATTTCTTACATCTCAGAGGAAAACCCGCAACAAAAACAAGAAACCTCTCTTGATTTCACATCGGCCTTCCTTCTACCCCATTTCTCAATGTAGGTCTTCCTCTACTTATGACGAGGTTACACCCTGATAAGCAATTTGAAAATATCCTAAGTAACAAAGTAAGAGAGGAGGGTATAGCTCAAGTGGTAGAGCACATACTTTGCCTGCACAAGGTCCTGGGTTCAATCCCCAGTAGCTCCTCTAAAAATAAATAAATCAAATACACACCCCTCCCTGCCCCCCGCAAAAAAAAGTAAAGTAAGAAAATATTATGTAATACACATAACCTACTGAACAGGCAAAGTCATCTAATACAAAGCCCATTTTATAATTTAATGTTGACTATCTCATAACTTACTGAATACTGTACTGAAAGTGAAAGACAGAATGGGTGTAAGCATTATCAGTTGTTTCCCCTTGATGTGATGTGACCGCGTGGTTCACTGGGAGCTGTAGCCTGCTGGCACTGCCGGCATCAC